CAGAGCCATATGTAGTTCAGGGACTCCTCTGGGTCCCAGCTAATTTTAGTTTGTACAGCTAGTGGTTATCTTTGTGCTAGGCATGGTTTTAAGTGCTTTATACCAACTAACTCAGGTAATCATCAATTCTTCTAATAAGGCAGGTACTATTATTATCCCATTTGCCAAATGAGAACACAGAGGGCCCAGAGAGGTTAAAGTTCCTATTACACCACATGCTAGCTGCTTCTAGATCGCATACCCTCACGAGGGGCCCTCTGAAGAAAGGTACTCTGACGCATCGGAACTGGCATGTGCCCAGGGGTTAATATAGTGGTAGGTATATGATACTTTCCTGTCACATCTTCAGTAGGAGATTTTCTTGACCATCTTTCCCTTTGAGGCTGGATTCTGCCCAAGTCAGTGATCCTTGGCACAAAGACATGAAACTTCCAGTCGCTAGATTCTGGTAATGGCAAGTTAGGTCATTCAAACCAAGTTCCTCACTGAAAACAGCTAGATAAAACATAAAAGCTATAGTTTTAAAAGCACTGATAAGCTAACAAGGTATTTTACCAAGCCAAATTAAAAGGGAAATGGGAACTGGTAGAAGTGAGAAGTGAACCTGCAGAAGGAACCCCTGGCCTAACAGGCTGATGACGGAGATCTGGCAATGTGCTGTGAAAGTGCTTCCTGGAGGGCTAGCAAAGAAGTATGAAAAGCGGAGTGAAGATTCAAGATGGTGGCGAGAGGTGAGACGGAGAACTCCTCCCAAAACCACAAATAATACAAAAATATACTTAATTAATACAACTAACCCTAAAACAGCAACAAGAAAGAAGGCTGAACCAGACTGCATATGGACCTCAAGAACAGAGCGGACCTCACGAAACAGGGTAACGTACAAAAGCCTTAATCCGGCGGGACCCAAGGCCCTCCCCCACCCCAGCTCACCAACGGGAGGAAGAGAAATGGAGTGGGGAGCGGGTGGAAGCCTGGGACTGCCGAACACCTAGCCCTGGAGATCTGCTTGGCAAGCGGAAATCTGTATTGTGTGGTGCTCTGGAGATTGGGGAGCTGGGACAGGCAGAGTGCTTCAGAGACTGAGATTCTTGCCGTTTATGGTGGACAGGATCCACATCCGGCCGCTCTGTGACAGAGGAAAGGCAGGGGGTCTCAGAGGCTTCTTAGCAGGGAGAGGGCTGCTGAAGGGGCGGGCTTTGCACGGAGCTTGCTGCATGGGAGAAGGGCGAGCTGGACACAGTTGTCTGGAAGTGCTCTGTCCAGCAGGTTGGGAACTTTGAGGAGCTTCAGGCACCCCATCCCCATGGCTGGCTGCCCAGCTCCGAGGCCCCCCACAGTGATATGCATCCTGCTGCGCCTCCCACCTACCCTGCTGGCACCAGTTCACAAACCGGCAGTCACTGCACTGGTGTCAGGCCAGCCAGAGGGAGGCCCCACCTACAAGAGCCAGACACGCCAAGCACAGAGGCTGTCACCTGGGTGCTCAGCCCACCAGCTCTGACACTGGAGACAGGCAGAGTAGACAGGAATCAGGACACAGGTCTTTCCTCCTCCTGGGCACTAGCTCCGCTCCCCTATGACCCCCAACCTCACTCTAAGGGCTGAGCAGCTCGAGAAGTAGAGCTTCTGGGCACTAGTGGGCACCACACAGAAAAATGAAAGGTCAAAAGAACACGGTTCAGACAAAAATCTCACAAACTCCAGAAAAAGGGCCAAATGAAACTGAACTCACCAATCTTCCTGAAAGAGAGTTCAAAATAAAAATCATAAACATGCTTATGGAGGTACAGAAAAATATTCAAGAACTCAGGAATGAATTTAAGTTGGAGATTCAATCATTAAGAAATTCGATATCTGAAATGAACATACGATGGAGGTATTTAAAAGTAGATTAGATATAGTAGAAGAGATGGTAAATGGAACAGAAATTAGAGAAGAGGAATACAAAGAAGCTGAGGCACAGAGAGAAGAAAGAATATCTAAGTATGAAAGAATATTGAGAGAACTGTGTGACCAATCCAAACAGAACAACATTCACATTACAGGGGTACGAGAAGCAGAAGAGAGAGAAAAAGGGATACAAAGTATTATTGCTGAAAACTTCCCCAATCTGGGGAAGGAGACAGTCTCTCAAGCCATGGAGGTGCACAGGCCTCCCAACACAAGGGACCCAAGGAAGACAACATCAAGACATACAATAATTAAAATGGCAAAGATCAACGATAAAGACAAACTTTTAAAAGCAGCTAGAGAAAGAAAAAGACCACATACAAAAGAAAACCCATCAGACTATCATCAGACTTCTCAACAGAAATCTTACAGGCCAGAAGGGGGTGGCATGATCTACTTAATGCAACGAAGCAGACGGGCCTTGAACCAAGTATTCTATACCAGGCAAGGTTATCATTTAAATTTGAAAGAGGGATTAAATAATTTTCAGATAAGCAAAAGCTGAGAGAATTTACCTCCCACAAACCACCTCTTCAGTGCATTTTGGAGGGTCTCCTACAGATGGAGGTATTCCTAAGGCTAAATAGATGTCACCCAAGGGAAAGACAAAGAGTACAGAATATGATTCACAGCATACAAAGAATGGAGGAGGAAGAAAAACGAGGGTAAAAAAAAAAAAAAAGAACCTTTAGTTGTGTTTGTAATAGCATATGAAGTGAGTTAAATTAGACTGGTAGATAGTAAGGGAATTACCCTTGAATCTTTGGTAACCACGAATATAAAGCCTGCAATGGCAATAAGTACATACCTATTGATAATCACCGTAAATGTAAATGATCTGAATGCACCAATCAAAAGACATAGAGTCACTGAATGGATAAAAATACAAGACCCATCTATATGCTGCCCACAAGAGACTCACTTCAAACCCAAAGACATACACAGACTAAAGTAAAGGGATGGACAAGGATATTTCATGCAACTAATAGGAAGAAAAAAGCAGGAGTTGCAGTACTTGTATCAGACAAAATAGACTTCAAAACAAAGAAAGTAAGAAGAGACAAAGAAGGACATTATATAATAAAAGGTTCAGTCCAACAAGGGGATATAACTATTATAAATATGTATGCACCCAACACAGGATCACCTACATATGTTAAACAAATACTAACAGAATTAAAAGGGGAAATAGAAAAGCAATGCATTCATTTTAGGAGACTTCAACACACCACTCACTCCAAAGGACAGATCAACCAGACAGAAAATAAGTAAAGAGACAGAGGCACTGAACAACACACTACAGATGGACCTAATGGATATCTACAGAACACTCCATCCAAAAGCAACAGGATACACATTCTTCTCAAGTGCACATGGAACATTTTCAAAAATAGATCATATACTAGGCCACAAAAAGAACCTCAGTAAATTCAAAAAGATTGAAATTGTACCAACCAGCTTCTCAGATCACAAAGGTATGAAACTACAAATAAATTACACAAAGAAAATCAAAAAGCCCACAAACACATGGAGGCTTAATAACATGCTCCTAAATAATCACTCGATCAATGACCAAAGAAAAACAAAGATCAAGCAATATATGGAGACAAATGACAACAATGATTCAACAACACAAAATCTGTGGGACGCAGCAAAGGCCGTGCTAAGAGGGAAATATATTGCAATACAGGCCTACCTCAGGAAAGAAGAACAATCCCAAATGAACTGTCTAAACTCACAATTAATGAAACTAGGAAAGGAAGAACAAATGAGGCCCAAAGTCAGTAGACATAATAAAAATAAAAGCAGAAATAAATAAAATTGAGAAAAATAAAACAACATAAAGAATTAATGAAAGCAGGAGCTGGTTCTTTGAGAAAATAAACAAAACAGATAAACCCCTAGCCAGACTTAGCAAGAAAAAAGCAGAGACCTCTCCAAAGAGGAAATTCAAATGGCCAACAGGCATATGAAAAGATGCTTCACATCCCTAATCATCAGACAAATACAAATTAAAACCACAGTGAGATACCACCTCACACACCAGTTAGGATGGCCAACATCCAAAAGACAAACAACAGCAAATGTTGGCAAGGATGCAGGGAAAGAGGAACCCTCCTACACTGCTGGTGGGAATGCAAACTAGTTCAACCATTGTGGAAAGCAGTATGGAGGTTCCTCAGAATGCTCAAAATAGAAATACCATTTGACTCAGGAATTCCATCCACTTCTAGGAATTTACCCTAAGAATGCAGCAGCCCAGTTTGAAAAAGACATATGCACCCCTATGTTTATCACAGCACTGTATACAAAAGCCAAGAAATGGAAGCAACCTAAGTGTCCATCAGTAGATGAACGGATAAAGAAGATGTGGTACACATACACAAGGGAATATTATTCAGCCATAAGAAAACAAATCCTACCATTTGCAACAACATGGATGGAACTAGAGGGTATTATGCTCAGTGAAATAAGCCAGGAGGAGAAAGACAAGTATCAAATGATTTCACTCATCTGTGGAATAAGAACAAAGAAAAAACTGAAGGAACAAAACAGCAGCAGACTCACAGAACCCAAGAATGGACTAACAGTTGCCAAAGGGAAAGGGACTGGGGAGGATGGGTGGGAAGGGAGGGAGAAGGGGGAAAAAGGGGCATTATGATTAGCACACATAATGTAGGGAAGGGGGGAACACAGGAACAGCGATATACACAGAGAAGACAAGTAGTGATTCTACAGCATCTTACTATGCTGATGGACAGTGAATGTTATGGGGCACGGGGTTGAGACTTGATAATAGGGGGAGTCTAGTAACCATAATGTTGTTTAAGTAATTGTACTTAATGATACCAAAAAAAGTGGAGTGATACTGTCTAATCAGAGGCTGAGACATCTGTGTCCCCAAAGGAGCTAAAGAAAGCAGACTTTGAGGACCATTCAAAGCTGCTGCTGGGCTGGACACATAACATGAACTTATTAATTATATAGGACCAATGTGGATGGTTGGATACATGTGGACATTAATGGAGGCAAACATATATATTTACCTGGCCAAAGACTACTCCACCAGTACTGGCTGCTTGACCAAACAAAGAACCAGTATTACTGGACCCAAAACCTGTAAAATAAAAACAAAATTTTGACTTGGATGAGTCTTTCACAATAGCAAAGTGGTTTTGTGTCTTTCTTTTTAAAACGGCATTCAGTGTGCTAAGGGATCCCGCAATAAATCAACTCATGAAATAAGTCTCTTTTCCTATAAAGGCAATGGAAAAAATTATGAGTAAATAATTTAAACACTTTTTTCCCTGCTAACATTTTATAATAGTACAAATTCCAAAGTCCCAAGGACTGAATCTTTCCTGGCCTCCTAGCAACACCAAGTAGGTGGCGACTAATAAGATGATACCATCTCGGAGTAGCTTTTCCCTAGACTTTACTGCCAAGAGGTCTCTCTAGTGACTGATTTAATATCATGACTATTTCTACTCCCTGGTTTCCTCCAATTTCAAGTACCAGATTCTTTCAGGGTAGATTCTTTCTCTTCTAGGTGGCATAACATGGTTGAGGTGCTGGTTTGACAAGGCCTGGGAAAACCAGGCAGAACCTTGTATTATAACAAAAGAGGCCTAGACAAGGAGTTGGAGGACAGGGGTTCCACTCCTATTTCTACCACTGACCTAGGTAGGTAAACTCAGGCAAGTCTCAATCCCTCAACGAGGGCTGCAGTGGACTGCTCAGGAACACACGTTACCACAGAAGGCAGATTCCCTCAGAAGTTCTCAGTGGTGCTGAAATAGTGATTGTATCTGTGCACGAGGGATTCTCAAGGGTTGAGTGCAGCACAGGGACACACTAGAGAGTGTTAAATACCCTACTCTAACACATGTAGGCTTTTACCCTTCCCCTATCTACATCAAGCTGTCACGCTTCGCATCACTCAAAATAGACCAACCCGCCTCTTCACAGGGCATCAGGTGGCTCTCAAAACTGTCTTTTAGCGCTGTGTCCTTGTAGCTGAATTTAGAAGCTCACATTTATTTAAGAAAGGAAGGAAAAAATTTCCTTTCTGTCAAATTATGAACCATTTTCAAATAAATTATCACCACAGGAATGACTCAGTGGTTACTTGTAATCCTGCCCACCAAGAAATCATTGATCCTTGCTTTTCCCCCAGAACCCAACTGCTAAGGAAATGCCTTTCCCAAGAAAACCTTCAGAAAGTACAGCTCAGAAAAGATTTTCAAGTTGTCCTATTGATAGTGTTTAGAAGTAAAAACAGATGCTAAAATTGGACATGTAATGGCGATTATTTTGTTTTCAAAAATAGTAAAACTTAAAGATTTGTTTAAAAATTTACATTGAAAATAGAAAAAAACCCAACTTCTACAATGTCAGTTACCTGCCCTTCTAGCAAGATGGTATCAGAGGAAGTGAGAATTGCTGGCGGGGCAGCAAGCCGGGCCGGCAGCCCTGGAGTCTGGCTCTGGCTCCGCCACCAGCACCAGAGGACGTGAGAGCTGGTCTTTTGAGGCTTGACCGCTGGGACATAATGACCTCTAAAGCACCTTCCAAGTTAACAACTGCACAGGTTTGAGGAACTCCCTACTTGCCATAGGCTAAGGACACCTGTGTTCTTTCCCGTGACATCGGCACTCTGGAGAGCAGAGTGGGAACGTGCGGCAAGGCAGGGATGGAGCACAGGAACTAGGCCAAAGCCATTACACCACCCAGGCTCCTTGTTGACTTCACAGTCTTTTTTTGGCTTGTTTTCCCTTTCTTTCAATTATAAAAGTAATGCAGGCTTTTTTACAAAGGAGAAGTCTTCCACAAGTGCTTACCTGAAGCTTGACAGAAGCTAAACCCAGAGGATGGCACTGATGTGGTGGTGGCTGAGGCGCCACCGAACACTGAGCTGCTCTGTCCAAAGCTGGGGCTCTGACCAAACGTTGGAGGGTTGCTTTGGCCAAACAGGCCCCCTCCTGTGTTGGCAGAAGACTGTCCAAATGAGAAGGAGGTGGAGCTACTAGTGCTCGAAGAAGCTCCAAAGACATTCCCACTGGTAGATGTGGGCGTGGAGGACACAGACTGACCAAAAGCGGGCACGGAGCTGAACCCAGGCTGACTGAAGGAAAAGCTGCTTGCGGGGCTGCTTGTTGACTGTCCAAAGCCTGGGGACTGCCCAAAGGTCGCCTGTCCGAAGAGCCCGGTGGCTGAGGTGCCAAAAGCTGGGCCGCCAAACCCAGAGCCACTGGCTGGAGGTGTGGTGGCAGCTGTGCTGGCCGTGCTGCCTGCCTGCTGCCCAAACAGGCTTGGGGCAGTGCTGGCTGCCACCTGCCCGAACACAGGGGCTGCAGAGGGGGCAGTGGCTGTGCTGCTGGTGAGCTGGCTGAAAGCTGAGCTAGAACTGGCAGCAGGCGGCTGACTGAAGATGGATGAGCCAGAAGTGACAGTCCCAAACACTGCAGCCTCTGTGGCCGGGCTTGGAGCAACACTGGGAACAGAGCTGGAGGACGGGGGTGCTCCTGATGCTTCTACAGCCACAGGGCCTGCACTTGGGGTTGTAGCTGCTGGAATGGCAGCCTGCCCAGGCACTGAAAGCGGGGAAGGAGATGCCGTGTCCACCCTGACGTCAGGGGCCCCGGGTGCTGCTGGAGTGGCCTCTGCAGAAGGTACCACCGGACTGGTGCTGGGTCCTGTGGCGCTGGGGCTGCTGCCTGCAGGCTGGGCAGGAGCAGGTTCTTTTCTAACAGAGTCAGTTTGCAGAGGAGCCTGGGGAAGCTGGGCTGACTGCTGCTGCCCTAGAAGTGAGGTGGATGCTGAGGCCTCGCTGCTGCCTGGCTTCTCAGGCAAAGGCGATGATGTGGCCTCCTCTGTGCTTTTACCAGAGGACACAGGCAGGCTGGGGGCAGATGCTGAGCTCAGGAGGCTACCGAAGGACAGTGTGGGGAATGATGTAGGAAGGGAGGTGGCAGCTGTAGCTGGCGGTGGGGCAGGTGGGGGCACTGTGCTACTCGTCTGCTGGCTTCCAAATGAAAAGCCAGTCTTGCTACCACTTAGGGATAACCCACCGAAACTGATGACTCCAGGGGTTCCCTCACTGGTGAGTGGCAGACCACCAAAGACACCAGCTGAAGAACTAGTAGTGCTCGTGCTGGCTGCAGCTGCCGCCACTGTGGTAGCAGCCACCACTGTGGTAGCAGCCACAGAGGCGGTCACAGGTGGCTCCAGGTGCTTCCCTAAACCTGGAGGGCTGGCAAAACTAAACCCTGAGGGGACAGTTGATGTCTTGGCTGGCTGTGTGCTAGTTAGGCTTGTGGATGAAGTCTTAATGGTCGGCTTTGTAGAATCATCTGCCTGGCCAACCCGCAGTCCTGAAAAACTTCCTAGAGTCTCCCCAGCCAAAGAACTTGGAAACAGAAGCTCTCCCAACTTGGACGGTGGAGTTTCCAGCTTGTTAGAGGCAGTGGTAAGAGCAATTCCAGAAGGTGCCACAGGTCTGCCGCTAGATGGAACAGGCTCTCCCGGAGAAGCAGTGGCAGCTCCCATGGTGTGAGACGCCATCACTCCTGAGGGAGGCATGCTTTCAGGAAGGGTCTCATAGAAGGCTTTGCCTCCCCCACCAAAGGAGAATGTGTCGAGCTGATTTGACTCTTTAGTGGGGGGTGCTGCCCCTAGGAAGAAAAAAAAATTAGGAAATGGGTTGGATTAGCAAATATGACCTATCACATTCCCACTGACTATTTCTAAGCCAAAGACTCTCTCCTCCCTTGATGCCATCAGGGACAGCATGTTCTAAGAGCCGTTTTCCTTGGAGAGGACAGAATGAATGCTTTTCTATGGGAATGTTAGCTCTGAGTCATCTCACTGAGGTGGAAAGAAAGAATATTCCTTTTATGACCATTAAAGCACAACAGATACTTTGTATCTAGAATACATGAAATTAATATATTGCCCCAAAGAGAAATACAAAGGCACCTCCCCTTATCTCCCCCAGGTGTGCCTTCCTCGGTAACATTCCTGACAATGCCAGCCTATGGACCTCCTGGCAGACCAGAAATTAATCCAGAATGGAAGTTCTTCCTTTGTTTTTAATGGGCAAATAAAGTATCAATCCAATCACTTTTATGTGCAATTACGGGATACTTCCTAGCGTTCTCCTTGGTAAGTGATTTTACAGAGGCAATATGGCCTAGTGGTCAAGAACATAGGCTCTGGGGCTGGGCGCTCTGCCTCTTGCTGGCTGTGCAACTCTGGAAAAGTTACTTTACCTCTCTGGGCCTCAAGCTTCCTATCTGGAAAGTAGGGATAGTAATAGTTACCTACCTCACAGAGTTGTTACAAAGATTAAATGAGATGGAGGTGAGGCATTCACGAAGCCTGGCCAAATACATGGCCAGTAAATAATGAGTACCTGAAATTTGATATTTATAAACTAAAATGAGCCTACAGCACATGTTTATTAACGTTTCTAACTCGCAGTGTTTTAAGAAGTCTGGCAATCACAAACTCTTGGGAACACTGCAAAGCTCCTACTACCTGTGTACAATTTCCAGAAAGACCTCTTTGTATCACTGTTACTGTATTGTGTTGTTTATGGTTTTGGATTGTTGTCTATTCTCGTAATAATGTTTATAGAATTACCACTGTGTTTTATTACTATTCTATTTATGGCTTTCAGCAATTATTATTTTGGTCCTCTCTAATCTTTTTATATCACTGAGTTGTTTTTCCTATGAGAAATGGGCCTCGGGAGGAGGTGGGCCTCAGGGTTATTCCACCACATCTAGGTGGGCAGAGATTATAAAAACAGTTTGAAAATCACTACTCTCATAAGAATAAAGAAAAAAAACTGAAGGAACAAAACAGCAGCAGACTCACAGAACCCAAGAATGGACTAACCCAAGAAAGGGACTGGGGAGGATGGGTGGGAAGGGAGGGACAAGGGGGAAAAAGGGGCATTACAATTAGCACACATAATGTGGGGGAGAAGGCACGGGGAGGGCTGTACAACACAGAGAAGACAAGTAGTGGTTCTACAGCATCTTACTACGCTGATGGACAGTGACTGTAATGGGGTATGTGGGGGGGACTTGATGATGGGGGTAGTCTAGTAACCATAATGTTGCTCATGTAATTATAGATTAATGATACCAAAACAAACAAACAAACAAACAAACAAATAAATAAATAAATCACTACTCTAGAGAGAAAGGAATGAAACTGGCAACACACACATTAGGTTTAGGAAATCTGCCTTGCTTTTAGCTCTCTAATCGTCTGCTAGGAGATTTTAGGAGATCCCTTTTTTACAAAGAAGAAGAAGAAGAAAAAAAAACAAAACACAACCTTCTACACTTGGGTTGGCACACAGAAAACACTCAACAAATATCTGCTGAATGCCTAGATGAAAGATAGACATGTGTTATGTATTATAGGGAAGACCTGGAGATAATCTAAATGTCTAATAAGGGAATGATTAAATAAACTGTGGCACACCCACAAGAGAAATTATACAGACATTAAAATGACATTTATGAAGGATTTTCAATAATACTGTAAAATTCACGAGGCTGTTAAATGAAATAAAGTAGAAGACAAAATTGCTAAAAGGAAATAGCACATAAATGTAATGGTTCTAAGAGGGGAACAAGGTGTGGTTCTAGAATATAGCACTTTTATAATAAAAGTGCTCTTTTTAAAATAAAAGAAAAATAAACTTAATTACTTAAACTGAGAATTGGAAGGCACTTAAAAATACATTTGGCTTCTTTACTCAAATTCTTTTAAACATTAAAAACATGCCAGTTCATGGATACATAACAACATGCATTGGGATTTGGCATGTTTGCTGATAGGTTATCAAGGAAAAGATGAATTCAGTCTTTTAAAGATGGAGGAAGAACTTTAATTCACATGGTAACATTCACATTTGAAGCACAGCCTTGCTTCTAGCATCTAGAAGCAAATCCTCTTCTCGTTCTTAATTATGAAGAGAGAGAGAGAAGTCCTTACCATCAGTCTCCTAAATCGGCATATTTCTAAAGGACAATATCAATACCAAACTTACTGCAGATACTTTAAGCCTACTCAGCAGTAAGCAAAATGCCAACATCTGTACAAGAAGCACCTGCAGCTGCTCAAGGGAAACATGGGAGTAATGCCATGCAAGGCGGCGGCCGTACCTGCTGTGGCAGTGAAACTAGAAGACGGTGGCGGTGTGACTGCCCCAAAGTTAAAACCAGTCCTAAGGAAGGCAAGAGAAGTTAAAAAGGATCAGACACCAAAGGCACAATATTGCCCTTTTAATATTACATTTTATAATTCATTCATATAATCTGCTTTCAAGGAATTTAAGAGTCTAGAAGATAAACCAGGGAGGAAAAGCACCTATCTTGGAAGCAGTGAAGCCGCTCTGAGATCGCTAAGTGAGGAAGGGCCACTTGCGGGTGAAGTAAGAAGCAGGTAGAGCTGGGAAAGCCTCAGTGGGATGGCTAGGCTTTCCGTGGCAGAGGTCTCGGAGGGAACCTATTTCCAGAGAGCAAAGGATGAGCAGCAGAAATGCACTAAGAATGTGTGCGTGGGAGTGGGGGCCAGAGCAGATGGTCTGCCAATGTAAGACAGGCTGGACTAGGGAGAACCTCTTGTGAGCCAGCCCAGGATCAAACAGCATGTCAGGAGAGGTCCACACTACCAGGGCAGATGATGGAAAGCATGAAATAGAAGCCACTGTCTCTGCCATTTGGACAGAACTCTCAGTTTTAGGCTGGGAAAATCTGCTTCAAAAACACCTTTCTCTCCTTCTGTATATTTTCTTTAAACTGTGAATAAAGACACCACAGCCAAAGAAGAAAATACAGTACAAGTGTGAGTCAGAATAAGACTATTCACGGTGATAAAAGCTTAAACACCGAACTTAAAACAATGGTTTTTAAAATATAAGTGACCAAGCATATGGGATAGGCAAGCATTGTAAGGATTTAGGTTTTTCTTATCCATGACTGCCTTCCTCAAATGGGCAAAGACCATCTGTGGTCAACATTTTATATTTTTAAAAACCCTCTCTTTGTCTCAACCCTGGTGAAGAAATTCTAGTAGAGGTAAGCCACTAACCCAAACCTTTTCACCTTATTTTAAAAACAGGAGGAGTGTCAGTCCACAGAAGTAAAGATTAATTATTAGCATCTGTAAAAGCAGCAGTAACTCCTGGCACTGACCAACTCTTAAAACTTGGCCCGAACCATCTTTGAGAAGCATAAAACACAGTGATTTACAGTAAAGAAAAAAAATACATGTATTAATTGCCCCCTTCAAACTCTATTCTAACACCCCCTTTGCTCTAATATATTAGGTTTAAGGACATTCAAGAAACATATTAACATCAGGGAAAAGAGATAGTGGTTAATACGATTCCAGCTACAACAGCATCAACTGAAAGAGCTCAAGAGGCTTTTCTAATAGAACTGAATGTGGAACTGTTTAATGGCAAAAAAAAAATCTCTGGACAAGTTTTAATCTCAGCTACAGAGAGTCTAACATCCTGAAGGGAGAGGATGCCTTGGCAACATTCACAGGCTTCAACACGAGTGCTTGTAGCACAGAGAAAAGGCATTCTCCCTCCAAAAGCTCCCCTTGGAATGAGTGGTAGAAGACTCTTTTGTTACAAAATGTCTCAACTTTACAGGCACCGTCATCATTACCTTTCAAAAAATGAAACAGGAACAGATTTCCCCACATCTGTACAAGGCCAGAATTTTCAAATGGCTACTGTTTCTTTCATTACCTTCTCTCAGAAGTATACTGACATCTCAGGGCAGGAAAGCCAATCCAAATGTCACATCTAGTCCCCAAATGGGGTCAGAATGAAAGTATCTCAGTGTGATAAACTAGATCAATTACAGAATTTGATACAGACCCACTACCCAAAGACAATGAAGGTTATCCTAAAAAGCAGAGCAAGTACATATATAATAATACACATATAAACCTGAATCAAAAAGGGGAAACAGATGTACATAGGACACTAAGCCATTGCTACTACCGTTAGATGTATTATTAAATAGGTGATAAGAACTCTGGGTTCATGTACGTTGACTAAGCAAATAAATATGTTAACTGATTGTAAGATTGGGAGAAGCTATCTATAAGGTTGCTGGCAATCTGCCACAAAACAAGTTCACCACTGACCCTGATGGAGAAAATGAGAAAGGCTTGCTGAGCTGCCCAACAGCAGATGGGGTAGAAGCCACAGCTGTTTCTATCTTGGCTGCCCCTGGCCCTGAAATTATGAAAAAAAAATAAGAACATTACAAAAAATCAATTAGAAACACCATTCCAGTTTGTAACACTATTCTAGTTTGTAATGACTGTGTGCAGCACTGACTGCGCAGTGCGGCTCAGACAGCAGTGCTGGGTCTGCGGACTTTGCTGTGTGCTATGACAGGTGAGTCGGCAGCCGACGGGGGACAGCGTGTCACCAACTCGCACCCGAGGTCTCTGAACTTGCTCTTTGGCTCTGTCATGTTAATTCCAAACCAAGACATGTCATACGCTCTCCTTTCCAGAAAAGATACAACTCTAATGCAGTTGAAATTTAAAGCTTTAAAAGTAGTTTTATAATTATTGAAAAGTAACATACTTTTCTGAAGGAAAAAGATTTAAAAGAAAAATAGGTTAATATGCTAAATATTTCTGAGTAGTGACTTTAGAGCTATTTGCTATCTCCCTACATCTCCATATTTTCCATTGTGCACTTTTTGTATTTATCAGATACTTGTTTTCTTTTTTTCTGTTTTTAATCACACATGACTGCTGTAATACAGAAACATGTAGAAAGTTAAAAGTTAACCCACCATCCTCCCCACATTCAGTTTCACTATAATTACCAATGAATAGTTTGGGGGTATTATCTTCAATCTTTCCTCTACCTTTAAAAGGGTGAGGACAATGGGAAAACTGCACTTAAAAAAGACCAAACCAAACCAAACGATAAGAAAAATAACATTCTCTGTGAATAAGTATGGGTAAGGTATTAGTCAAATTATTTTAAAAACAACTATAACACAACATGGGGTGTCCAATGTGTCCAATGATGCTTTGCTTAAAATCTTAGAAAATCAGAAACAATCTAAACTGTTAGCAGAGTACTGGTGCAAGTCCCAAACTGTAATGAGAAAGAATGAGGTTGAGCTTGATCAGACAGGGAACAATGAATGGCAGATACATGGTCTAAATCAGTATACGCAGAACGTGCCCATTTTTGTTTAAAAAACAACAATGAAGTAACCTTAAGAGATGTAAATCAAATCACTAAGAGTTGTCATCTCTGGAAATGGTATTTACAAGGCAGCTTTCACTTTCTACACTATGTATTTCTTCACCACAGACTTTTTTGTGGATCTGTAATAATCAGTAGAACAATGAAGGCACTCTCATTCTTAATTAGTTATGGGAACTATTCTATAAAGGTTTCAGAAATTTTTTTTTAAGAATTTTTTGCAAACTCATTAATAATATTTTTCAGGGAAACTTTCCTAATGGAAAAAGTCCTTTTTTTTGATTATCCAGCAAATAAAAACAGAAGCAAGCATCTAGCAATGAAAAAAAAAAAAACTTCACAACCATCGCTGAGTGATGAATTTCAGAAATGTCTTTGTAAGTCACGCTAACTGCATAAGGCACCCATGAAGCAAAGTGCCTGAGGCTGCCTCGATTCATAACTTTGGAAGGGAGAGAAAGCTCTCCAAGGCAATACCTAGAAGAAGCTGGGTTAGATGATCTCTCAAACACTTTTTCTAAAATGTTAGCCAGAAATGAAAACAAATTTCTTAACTTAAATCCTAAATGATTCAAATCTTTGACAATTCCACTAATTTTTTTCCTTCTAACATAAAGCTTTAGATTCCAGTCAGGGAACATCAGACGCCACCTTCCTGTGCAAGGCTGTTAACAACAGGGGTTCTGCATTAATCTGAGATCTAGGGTACAACCTGGGCTTGCACAAAAATGGCTTTCTTCTGAGTATAAGGAATAATTTACTAAAGATAAACCCAATATCCAATCAGAAAGCTTCTGATTCCAGGGAAAGTTAGAATGATCATATGACTGAGCAGAGATCACAGAAAGCAGGCTACTAATGTTTGGGGTTCAGAGTCTCCTATAGAATTTGCCTGACGACCCACTTTAGGGCATGGACTGAAATAAAAGCCAGAATCCAGAGTGGTAAGAACACAGGGTTGCAGGTGGTACAAGACCCCCGAAATAGAGCATAACACATGCCAAATCAAGTGTGTTATAAAAAGGGGGCCAACAGAAGGGAGTGCTGAGGAAGACCCCACATTAAAATTAGGTCATATTAAAAAACATTCTTCCCCTTCAACTGGCTCGGGGAAATATGAACCCCTGGCGAAGAAGCCCCATGGTGACCGTGGAAACTTAATTATGATTATGAATAATTATGCTTGAGTTGAGTACTGAGAAGTACACAAAGCCATAAAATCTTCTGATAGTGACATTACATCTAACTCAGATCTTATACTGTATCAGGCATGTTTTACTTTCCATATTTTACTGGCTTTTGAACTCTCTCTGTGAACCAAGAGAGTTTTTCATTACCTGCAGTACCAGAAACAGAAGAGTCCAGTGCTCTGGCCCACTCTTCTCCAGACCTCGACCGCCCGGCAAGGCGGGTGAAGACAGCACTACTGCTTCTTTTTAGGTCAAGCACTTAAGGGAAGATTTTTCTCCTCCTGCTCTCAAATTCCAGATGTCTCCAGAGCTGTCGAAGGGCTCACTACTTTGCTGGAGACTCTTCACCAGCTGAGGCCCTTTGAACATCTCTTGATTTCCTACGTCAACTGCCTCTGGGATCTAGAGTATCCTCCTCTAGTGTGGAGCTTTCGTTAGCCTTTATTTTCACTAAAACAAGAAAGAATGCCAACTGACCTGGGGCTGTGTCGCCAGATGACCACTGACCAGACGCTGGTGCGGGCCCAGGCGGCTTTAGGGAATTTATCAGGGATCCCTGAAACAGACACACACAAAATGTTTATGTGAAACTACTAACCATCCTTTGGAATAAAGGAACATGCAAAATGGTAACATAATTTAAAATAAGCAAGCATGAACATTTTTATTTTAATTTTTTTAAAAGTTTCCACTTAAGTCAATACTTTTAAATGTTTACCATGTGCAAGATCCTATCAGAGGCTGGAAACAGGAATACTCTGCAAGCTCCGAGAAAGCAGAGTCGTGCCTGTCTAGTTTGTGGCTATTTTCTCAGTGCCTAGCTCAGTACTTGCCACACAAAAGGCATAATTTGGACTATTTGGTAGATGAATAAATTAGTAAATAAATGAAATGGGTTCTGGCTCTCCACACATTAATAATATGTTCTAAAAAGCAAAACTATTTAACCTATCCACTCTTGTCAATGTTCCTTTACTCCTGCTTGCAATAACTTATGCCTTACCAAGTGCCCCCCAAGGTGCACAGGGAGACATTGAGAAGAATGACCAAATGCTAGATGCTTAACTGCCACTTAAGTCTCAGCAAACTCAGGAATAGACAGCCACGTTTGAGAATTCACCAAACCCAAGTTTTGATGTTCAGTCTCAAACACAATCTAAAATTACTAATCTTGGAGATAGAAGAGTAGCAGAGAAACCAACTTTTCTTAGGGAAAGTTTCAGAGATAGCTTGATCTACCTTTCAGCCATCTCCTATTTCCTCTGGGCTGTTTGACTCTTTACACTATAATCTGTTTTTGTAAGAGACAATGTTTATCAGGCAAAAGCCTGAAAGTAGACATACCAAATATCACTGATATGCAAGCTCTGAAAAACAGGGATTGCAGGAGAAATCAAGAGAACCCCCACCGGCTCCCCAGGTCCCACCAAATAAGAGACTGAAACGTAGAGTGAAAAAAGTGACAGGAAGATGCGAGAAGACCTGAGTTCCAGCCTGGCTCCACTGTTTACTAACTAGTGAGCTTGCATCAGATGCCACTTGTGCCTCGGCTTCTTCATGAGTGGAACATACCTAAATGCCTGTCCTGTCTACTGCAGATGGTTGTTGTACAGTTAAGATAATGTTAAATGGAAGTAAACTGTAAACCCAAATACCCCCTACAAATATAAGGTATTAGAATTATGATCCAAGTTTACTAGATGTAGAATGTCAAAGGGCCTATGAAGACAGTATCAGGTCCTAATTGACCTACTATACCAAAACTGGCACAAATTTTAGGGAAAGCATCACAGGTCTTTTCGGACTTGTAATTCATTCAAAGTCAGGATTTAGAACAGTACTGTCTTCAGTTATAAAGACAGACAATGCACGACTGTTAACAAAGCAAAAATCAGTAAATTACCTGCTTGGCCTGATTAGCAGACACTGGGATCAACGCTGGGTGAGATGTCTTGGCTGTAGAGTATGGCACTGAAGAACTGAAAAACAAGGAGCAGACATTCAAGAGAAATGCATGGGGGTCGGAATCACGTTCATGCTCAAGCCAACCTTCTGTACCATAAATGATGCCAATTTTGCGTAGAATTCAGATGTCTGGGACCCTAACCAAAGTCATTGACATTTTTCTGAAGAACAGATTCTTTAAATGAAATATGGGTCTTTAGCATAAATATTAAAGCAGTAAAGATAAAAAACTATAACTATTAAGGTGTAAGTCTTCTTATCTGGAAAGTAAGCCCTCCCCACCCCTGGTCCGCAGGTCCCCAGGTCCAGACTGTGTGGGCAATTCCTGATTCTCTTTACCAAGCCCAAGAAAATCTTCAACAGGTTCTATGGGATGTATATGATCTGCTGCCATATACAGCTCAAAAGTGCTACCCTAAGAAGAGATCTCTGCTTCTCACAGCAACCACGTCCAAGGGCCCAGCACTTGCTAGGTCAGCACACAAGAGATTCAAATGTACCACTGTTTCATTTCTAACCTGCGTCTCTGCTAGAGTATGGAACATGCACCCGCTATCTCTAGAAAGAGCATTTTTTGTTAAGCTGGAACATAGTATGCAGGGAACTCTTATTTCAGTAATTACTTAGTGTTAAAGTATGAGGAAACAAACTACCCATTAGAGATGAAGGCTCAATTCTTGGCCTCTGGGAGCAATTTTAAAAATCAATTTATCTGTCCTCAGTCTAACACTACTTTGACTGGTATATACAGCAGCAGTAGCTGTGATCTGGTTTTATTTTTAAGAACTCCCTCTGAATTTAGGGAGGATTAATATTTTCTCATGAAAAAATTAAGTTGAAAGAAGAGGAAGAACAAAAATAAGCCCATGCCTCTGGAAGAAAATGATCAAACAATTTAAGTCTTATAAGCACCTCAGGATTTTCTGCTGGAGTAACACAGAAACCTTCCCAAATAAACCACGAGATTGAAAGAGATAAAAAAATGGAGTTATTTTCAATGAAACAAACCCCTTTTATCTTTCTATGGAAGACAGAAGAAGCTAAAATGTTGTGCCTGCCTCTCGGAAGAAACAGATCCCTGCTCTCCTGAGATGCTCTACCGAGCAGGCAGGCAGGTCAGGGGCTCCCCTTGCCTCTGCTGAACCCCCAGCACAGAGAAGGAATGTGTGGGGGAGATTGCCGGGACTGAGAATCCCTGAGCAGACACAGCGGCCTTGGGTAGAGGAATGGCTTGAGATCACGAGAAGCACAAGGGAAATGAAAGTCTTTTATGCTTTCTCATGGACAAACAAAAAAGAAGCCAGAAATAAAAACAAAAGCAGCGATTTATTCAATTTTAGGACATTTTTTACACCCAAAGTTTAGTGATGACATGACAATAAATCATAGATGAAGCAGAGTGATATACTTATTGTTCTATTAACTCGTGGCACAGCTATAAACCTCTTGGGAATCCTAAATCCCCAAACACACAAAATCAGGATTCACAGTACCTACACAGCAAGCCATATGACAACCCTGCAAGGAAATGTTGTTCAGCGCAGTCAGCTAACAAACCCAACTAAACTGGACCTACCGCGATCCCAGAGCAAGTGGAAAAGGACAGTACACTCCTAAGTCAACGTGTTCAAACATCTGTGCACAATCATGAACCACCGCAATGGAAATCAATAGCTAGAAATGTTCAAGAGGAGTTGGTACGGCCAAATTCAGAACTGTCACATTTTGGATGTCTGTATTCTACTTTCTAGCAATGCAGTCCAGAAAGAGATCATCAGAAACTCTTTGACATGCTCTGTTCTACAACTGAAAACAAAAACAGAGGATGAAAACAAAAATCAGAGGACCACAACAAAAAATAGCATTGTAAAGTTTCAAAAAGACATACAATTACTGCATGAATCTACAAATAACATTTACATTATTGGCAATGTTAAAGCACCGCTATAGAAATGTGTAACTGAGTCACAGGTTACCAAGAGCAGTAAAAGTAGGTTCTTGGGAAAAGCAATGCCAACAGAATCTAAATGTTCTGACTTCCCATTATCCAGACTACTCTAATAAAAATTAATAAGCAGTTGCAGGTGAAAACACCGAATATGATCAACATGGAAGAAATGTCACAATAAACCTGTTTCAATCACTGCCTTAAACATAAAAGAGTCATTTTTCTGTTTTCTGCCATACCTTCTTAGCATTAACTGCTGATTATAAATTAAGATTGTGAAGCCTTAAAATGTCACCGAAGCCCTTTCTTAGCGGCTTTTAAACTTTAATGAGCTTTAACAAGGTAAATATTCACCCTATTGCTATGAAAGGGGCCAACTACTCATTCCTTCACCTATTTCAACATTTTAAAGGGCTTAAAAGATAAGAGACCTACGTTTTATTTTGGTAAATCAATCATTATGTCTTTTTATATATTCACATACAATACAGTAGATTTAAACTGTGAAAGCTACTAAAGTTAACTAATGAACTATATATTTTTTGGTAATAATTTAAAGATGAGGCAAGTAAGGAGACAGAACAATTTACTTAGAGAAACTGAAAAAACAACAAAAATCAGGACAGACAGAAAGAAAATAGAATATATTGAAAACAAAGGCTACCGGTTCATTTTTCATCTGTCAGATTGGCAGTAATCTCAAAGTTTGATAACAATCTTGGTAAAGATATGGGGAACTAGATTGTCATACACTGCATGTGGGGAGATAAACTGATCAACCTCGATTCTGCGGGCAAGCTCCAGGGCAGCCCACTCCTTCTCAGTATCACCTTCCCTGCAGTCAGTAGGCAAGTCCATTGAGGTTCATTAGGAAAAAGGGCCTTTTGGACCACAGCCTGGGCATCTCCGGGACAACACCCCGGTGGGCAGCCTAACGGGCCTGCTGTACACATGGACGCCTGCACCTCCAAGTTCAAGGAGCTGCAGCCAGCACGCCCAGAACAAGGCGAGCAAGACGGAGATCCTACAGCATGTCAGCGACTCCATGTGGGACCTGCAGATCCCCCGGAACTCACACCCCACCACTGTCAGGTGGCACCAGCGACCTGGGCAGAGCCAGGTGTCAGGGCACCACCAACCACCCTGAACACGGACATCCTGCTCATACGCGCTTCTGAATTGCCTCCTGAGAATGTAAGTGACTGCAAAGGGCTCTGTGGCTGAATAAATGGTGTTCATGACTTTTTTATTCTTTGCACAACAAATCTACAGGATCTTTTAAGACACTGAATTTATTTTTCAACCATTTCACAAAGAGGACAATAGCAAGTTGAATGGACCTTTTTAATAAATGGAAGGAAAACTAAGAATGACCATCCTTCCCAAGGTAGACCTGACCTAGACTATGATTATGAGTTACTTAGGAAAGATTCTAAATGTCCTTTACGGAGTGGGAAGGTTTTCTTTATATACTATTCCCCCCATGGGGAGTGAAAATATTAAAATCACGAGGAACTGTCCAATTTAAGCAGACTTTGCTTTTCTCAAAGGTGGAGTGTGAATACTAGAAGGATACAGTATTCGGTTACTTAAATGAAGAGTATTTTGGTCAGAAATTACCTTTCTAATGCAAGCCTACTAAATACTGTATATATATTTATATAAATATTATATACAATAAATATATACATATTTAAGCTATATATTTATACATATTTGTTAATTTATATTTAATATATAAATACTTATATATATTTATACTTATGAAAATATACACAGTCTATGTTATAAAAAATATAAATATATATATTGCATGAAACGTTATGATCTCTTTAGTTTTCTTACGTAGTGGCAGAGAAGTATATTTCTGTACACAAAATGAAATGATGTATTCATGCTAACTTTTTGTAAAAGTCTAGTTGTAAATTTAACCCTCTTATCAAAATAAATCAAGTGTGTTTATTGAAAAAAAAATGATACAACCTCTACTGAGAGAAATTTGGCAATTATCAAAATTATGTATACATGTATATATACACATACATATTCTCCTTTGCCTCAGAAGTCCCACACGACAATCTGAGAGATATCAATGTGTCAATTAATTTTATCATTGTTGATAAGAATACAAGAAGAGCATCCCCCAAATCAGTAGAGAAACCAGCCAATGAGTAGAGATAAAAAAGCTATCAGTTCATTTTTAGGAGTTTCTTATGTCTGTCAATGGAGATTGTAACTGCCAACCATTGACCCCTATTGGTAAATTTTACGTCTTTGAAGACTCAGATATCTTCCAAAATATAATCTAAAAGTCTGCTAAATCAAACTGCAGGACCTGAATGAATATCTAGATGCCATGTAAGTAACTTAAATAATATTAGTTGGAACTGCATTAACTCTTTGCAAAAGAACTGTAAATATGAAAACAGTATCCTGTTAAGGAGAATTTATAATGATATGGAAAATGTTGACAATTAAGTTTTGTGATTGAGCTGAAAATGGAGGTTACAAAGCATCATGTATTCAGCCTTTACTTTAAAAAACTAAATTTTCACAGAATAAAGATGAATAAACATGTAAATAGTGATTAAACATTTGTGGTAGGAATAAAAGTTACTTTAATTTTGTTCTTTTTAACTATCTGTGTTTTCTGTAATGTCTACAAAAACATTTATAATAAGAAAAATAGAAGGATGGAATTTTTTTTAAGGTTATGATCATTATTATTTTTCAAGTGGGGCAACATCTTTAAGTCAGTGAAGAAAAAACTGTCAAGCTAGAATTCGTTCCTCGGTGAAAACATCTTTGAGAAACAGATGAAACTGACTTTGGCAGACAAACAAAACCTGGAAGAATTCAGATTCACACCTAAAGAAATGTTAAAGAAAGCCCTTCAAGCAGAAGGAAAATCATACCATATGGAAACTTAGGACTAAACAAAAGAATGAAGAACCCCACAAATGATAACTATATCACTAAACAAAAGATGTTTATCTTCTTATTTAATCTGCTTAAAAGATAATCAACTATTTTAAAACAACATATCATGGGGTTTATAACACAGGT